TAGTCAAAACCTATCATCTTCCTCTAACTACCTTCCTTACTCAACAATCTGCCATTCCTTCAGTCCAATGTGTCCTCTACCTCACTGGAATCCAAACTATCTTTTGAGTACTGATGGATAGTATCTCCTTCCTGCTTCACTTTATACCAACTTGTCACCCCACCAAGGGACATTCACCTCTACCACATGGTATGTCAAAGCATTTTATTCATGCTATCTTACAGTACTTATTACATTCTACTGCATGGCATGGTTATTTATAATTGTCTGTCTTTCCACAGTTGAGATTTGGTAAATGAATGATGAAATCAATAGACAGCATGTAAGACAACTCTTGAAAGAAAGAAAAGTGGATTCATAATCTGAGTGGTAAAAATTTCGTAAGAGGCCAGACAAAGCGGCTCATGCCTGTAATTCCAGCACTTTGGGAGGCTTAGGCAAGAGGATCACTTAAGACCAGGAGTGCGTGACAAGCCTGGGGAAACAGTGCGACCTCATCTCCACAAAAAAAAAATCAAAAAATGAGCCAGGTATGGTGGCACATGCCTGTAGTCCCAGCTGAGTCAGGAAGACTACCTGAGCCCAGAAGGCCGAGGCTACAATGAGGCGTGATCACACCACTGCACTCTAGTCTGGATAACAGAATGAGATCTCTGACTTAAAAAAAAAAAAGGTAAGAGTTAAAAGATTAATAACTGATTAAGGCTTCCACTATATGTATGCCTTATATCACAAGAATAAACAAGATAATTCTTGGTGGGATTCCTTTAAAACTTTTACTTTACCCAAGCCACAAGTAGCAAACTTTGGAATCTCTTCATTTATCTCAACAGAAATTCAAAATCTAACTTTGTACTAAACAAAATTGTCCGACACCCAATGTTTTATTATCACTTATCCAAGACCACTAGCCCATGGATCTGCCAAGTTAGAACAACTTCAATAATGAAAATACATGAAGACAAATAATTCAAATAAATGCTATATCCTGAAAGGCTCTAGGTAGATGAGATTCTCAAAATCAACAAACAATAGGCATCCAAAACCTTAGTTTTACTCCATCTGGAATATTTTTCAGAGGTATGAGAAATTCAACTTAGACAATAACACTCTTATTTTTTGAAAATTTGAATACAATCCAATCATCTCTGACAGACAAACCTTAAAATACATTATGGTCACAACTACATTAAAAAGATAGAAAATGAATTATTTCTCAAGCTTGGCAAATGTGTTAAATGTACTGAGGGTAAAAGGCAGGAAAAGGCTATTTGGCGTCATCACTTCCTAATGCTTTTAAAATTCTTTCAGTAATGTAATTTCAAATAAATGACAAGGACAGCAAGACCAAAATGTAGGCAGGTATAGCATCAATTAACTATCTTCAAATTTCCCGAGCACCCATGTAGGCTCAGTACTTTTAGCATCTATTAGATGGAAAACTGTCTCCTCTATTTCCCATCACCTGGCTACGACTCTTGTGAAAACCACGCTCAGGAACCTCACATTAATAAATTATCATTCCAACCATACTGATTAGCAATCATTTCCTTACCCTCACCTCAGCACTTCCAACAAGAGTACAATAATGCTGTTCCTAAAAGGCAATGGCCAGCCGAATCCAGACAGAAAACTGTCTGAACAGTGGCCAGAAAAACAAGGTGGATGCTCTCTACTTTGCTCCCACTGCACTTTGCATGGGTCTGAAATACAGCCCTCTCCATACTCCATGGTCATTATCCATTTATATGCTTGGTTCTGATGCTGTTTCTCCGAGTACTTTGCCAGCTCGAGGGCAGGATTTGTCTTGTCTAGCTTTGCATCTCCAGGAATATGCACTTAGTAGGAACACAGTAGGCCCTCAGTAAATATTTATTGTTTAAGAAACACTATCTTTTGAGTAGCTTTGGAACAGACTCCACATTCTTTTGTTTGTTTGTTTGTTTTTGTATTTGAACCTAGATATGTATTCACGAGTAACAGTTTGTCACTGTAGCAAATAGGCATCCATTGACTTGAGGGCTTTTGGGTCAGCTATCTATGTACACTGACACATAGAGCTAAGGAAAAAAAATCTGTCTAAATGGGATGCTTTGGGATATGCTATTATCTACTACCCTTTTTCTCAATGTATGTACCATGCTAACTCTGTGCTACTGATGTCCTGCTACAAAACATTCTACATCTTTCAAGAAACACAACTGAGCAATTACTCTCTCCTATTCTAAGTGACCTGAGGGAAAAGCTTGCCTTCTAAAAACAGAACAATTAGTTGGAAAGAATCTCAGTTGACCATTTTAAACTCTGGAGGCCAAAAAATGATAAAGCTACACACTTGCTTGGTATTTTTCCTACAGCCTAAGACTGTTTCATTATCACCTGTAAAAACAGTTATTTTACATTGTAGGTAGCTGAAACACACTGAACTTGAAGCTTGTGTTCATATTTAAACTTCTAACAGCTGTCCTTGTGAAGAGGCTTTTAAGAAAAAAATACTCACTATACACTTAACCTTGACCTTTACATAAATACCAATAAGACTTGAAAGTTGCTATTTTCTCTTGTTCACAATCTAAACTCATGCCATTGCAGTTGTTTTAAAAAATAGTTAGGTAATGTGTCAAGAGATTAACTTTGGGACTAATAATAAAGTTCCTGATGTAACCATCAGGACAATGTTGATGTTATGAGCCACTTCCTTCACCACTGACAAATAAGAGAAGATAAACACAAGTGGGGGATGCTTCTGCATTACACACTTGAATAAAACATATTGCCAACTAGTAATTATCAATGCCTTTCTATTACTGTGTGACAGAGTAAAAAATAAACATTCTGAATTATTTTATAATAATTTATGTGATTTCTTTCCACAAAACCCCCGAGTGTGTTCGCAAATGAACACAACCATTTTCATCTCTGACAAATAATGAAGATAAACAGGGAAAGCTATAGCAATGCACACTTGCCAACACCCGCACCCACATCCCACTAAGTAGAGACTTCGGATAATAGATTTCCTTGCGAGTGAAGTTTCTCAACTGGAGAGGCTAAACCCAAACCCACAGAAGGGTTAATAAAATAAACAACAGCCAATGCCTTACTATCAAATAACCATCCATTTTACCATAATTCATGGTAAAATAATTAAAAATGGATAAAACTCATGTTAACAACCAGTTATAGACCAAAATTATGCATACCATTTTTAATGTTTCAAAAATAATGACTTTATAGTAACTACAGCTCACCACTTCCTTACATAAATCTTTTTGATTTGATGTTCTAACACTCACTCACAAATATACAAATTTTAACCACTCAAAAATGGGTGGTGGGGAGGGAAGAACTTCCCTTATAGCATCTGATTCATTTGTCACCCACTTACATAACAGATAAGTAAAGAAAAACCTGGAATTTCTTCTCTTACCCCCAACTAATGACTTAGGCAATGAGAGTGACCTTCAAATACACACTCTTTAGAAAACCAAAGAGAGTTAGTATTGTATTTGCCAAATATATGCTATTTTTCCAATTGTATGCTCCTTATTCTTAAGTATCTAATGCCAAAATCAAAATCTGACCCCAAGCAGCAAGTTGCAATGTTCTGACACTATGACATCATTCTGTCTGGAGCATTTTAATATAACAATTTGAATAAATTGGCAGAAGCTTAATTAGGTCACACTGAAGCCCAAAACTAAGGATATTTATTTGGCAAAAATACTCTGGCTGTGCATTTAGCACCACCAGTCACAGAATGACAGGCCTGTCATTCATCTGAATATGCATACTTTCTATAAAGATAAATGAAAATCAAGTATAATAAGTCTTGTCACTTTCCTGTACAGATAATACTACAGATAGTGGCTTTTTGTAGCCAATATTTGCACACAATAACAAACCAAAGCAAAGGCAAATGCTACCATATGATTTTACAGAAGCTTCAGTACATCTCTACAGAGAAATATTTTTTAAACCTCCACTTCCTCAGTTACAAAGATATAAAGAGTCCTACCTCCACTAAATTCATAATTAGCACCAGATAGCTTTTAAAATAAAGCCATAAGGTGCTACAAATATTTATTAATAAACACGGGACAGTGCTACTCTTTCGAAAAGAATTATTAATTTTTGCAAAGCAGCAAGCTATATCTTAATCACATTTATTTTATAATCCTATTTAGTAATTTAGGATACTGGCAGCTACAGTTTTCTCAGATCTCTGTAAGGTATTCAGCTAGCCTTTTTAACTGGACTTCTCTGGATACTGACATCCATCTTGATTTCTTCTTGTAAAATTATAGTTCATCTGAAAGCAACATGCAGAAACCACAGAGGTTTCTGACACTCTCAGCCTCACCACCCCCACCATAAATTTTCCTTTCACAATAAACAACCTGCAATCGAAAGGTTTCCTGTTTCAAAATGGAATAGTAGATGAAAGAAACTGTAAATCTACCATTAACAACAAGAAAGTTTCTTAATGAAGATTAATTCTCAAAGATGAAAATGGAAACTCTCTCAAATACTGCTTCCCCACTCAAAGACTAATCTGGTTCTTTCCCTAATAAATATTTTCAGTATCCTAGAAGTGTATACCATGAGTGGTCCATCAGAGACTTTCTTAAATAACTTATTTGTACCCTTTTGTTATCTAAGAGCAACACCTTACATAAGACAGAACAAACACTTCCAAACATACTATGGCCACACACCAACAAAAAGCAGCCAATGGTAAAACTTTGCATACTGAGTCATATAGAGGAACTCTGAACCTTGAAGAGTAGAAAGGACAAAAGGTGGGGGAAAAAAAGTCTCTGCTTTGAATCCAACTTTTCAAAACACACCGCATGGAAGTAAAAAAAAAAAAAAAAAATCAACAGAAATCAAAAGACCGTTACCATAACAATGGTTATTAATTAATAGGATAAATGAATCTGGAGAAACTATGTCCAAAGTGAATAGAGCTACGCATTGCACAGTCAGACAGAACTTACCACTTTGTCCATGAGTTTCCAAGTTTTCTCCACAGTCCTGCGATCTGCAGCAGCTTGCTTAGGGGGTCCAACAGCATCCTGAATAGCATCAATAATACCCAAAATTCGGCCTTTTCGGGGGTTTCCTCCTCGACTACCAGGGTTTCTGCCATTCATAGAGTTTGCCATCTGGAATGTGAGTTCTTTGAAAGGCAGATTTAAAAAAAAAAAAAAAGTTAGCTGGTTATGAAAATATTTATCCACCAGAAAACTGAAGAGGCTAACTTGTACCCACTAAATCCTTCTCCATCAGTGAGCACAAACCCAAAGGTCCTAGATTCGACTTTCCAATCAGCTTGTGAATTTACACTCTCAATCCTTACACAGTAGCTTTTAAAACCAATGGCTCTAGATTGGCTTTTAGAAAGTAAGAGTTAAAGATGCAACCTGCCCCTGTTTCAAGTAACTAAGGCAGAACTAATACCCAACTCATTAAAAAACTTAAATAGGTCTTCTCCAACTAGATAAGAACACAACGTTCTCCCCCTCCTGTCTTAATTCCAATTCAAAATACTTGAACAACTGAAGCCCCGAGAATACATTTTGGAAGCCTCACTCAGAAACCTCACTTTCAGTCTGTTAGATGTCTCCAAGTTACACAAATGTAAAGATCATTCTTTCTACACAAGCATAAGGGACAGGTCTGTTGTCAACAAAGGCGGAGGGCTTGGATTTTCCCCGCTAAAACCACGAAGTACGGTCACACGAACACACAGTTCTTTAAACCAACGCGGTGAGTAGTTATTCCCAAGAGCCAAATAAAACGACACACAAACAGCCCATCTGAAGAGAGAAGGTGAGAAACTGACAAGAACCGGCACAGAAAGGAGGCGAGAGTTCACTTCTTTCGCTCCCTGCCTCCGGGCTCACCCAAAGCTTTGTTCCAGGACGTCTGTGCCCCTTCCCGGCTCAGGCCCCTTCCCTGCCACTGTCGGGTCTCAGCCGCCTAGGAAGGCGGACACAGAGAGGACAAAGTATCCCCTCGCCGCTTCTCCAGCGTCCGCAGCCCGGTCCGCCCTCGGGCGCTGGGAAACCCGCGCCCGCCCGGGAGGACGCACCTCCCCGGCCGCCCGCAATCCCAGCCGCCCGTCTCCCTTCACTCCTTCCTCTTCCTCCCCCCACCCGCCCGCCGGGGATCCGCTCTTGCAAATGCCCCCACTTCAAACTGGACGGCGGCGGCAAGAGCAGCTGAAAGCTGGGGCTGTCCCCTCTACCTCTGTGACTCGCGCTTGGCTGCCCCCGGGCCCCGAGCCGGTGAGAAGGGTCGCGCCTCCCCCCGGCGCCCCCTTCCCTCCTTGCCTTTCGGCGCCGTAGCTGTCCAGAGACACGCGTGTGCGCGGGTCCGACTCCACACGCACGCAGCCCGGGCAGCGTGGGCAGCCCGGGCGGGGAGTGTGTAGCCGCTGAAAGAGCACGCTCCCGAAGCAGCCGCCCAGGGCGCAGGCAACCGAGACAGGGAAACGCAACAATCACCGTCCAGGCAAATCCACGCCCGCTCTCCCCTCCCGCCCGACTCTGGGAGGCCACGGGACGCCGCAGCAGCACGGGCTGGAGGAGGAGACCGCTCGCTGGACGCCCCACCCCTGTAACAGACACGGAGACTCCGGCGCGGGGCGGGGCGTGGGGCGGGGCCGCGTGCCGCCGGGCCAATCCCGCGCGCCGGCTCGCTGCCCGACAGCGAGCCGAGCCAATGGACGGGAGGCGCCCGTCCTCCTCGCGCTACCACCCGGTCCACGTCCTCCACAGTACACAATGGCCCCAGAGGAAGGCCCGCTCGCCGCACGTCCGAAGGGAAAGGGGCTCCGAGAGAAACGAGAGGCCTGGACTCGCCGGGAGCGAAAGGGGAAAGGGGAAGGGAATGGAAGGAGGGATGCTGACCAATAAGGGGCGGCAGGTGGGCGTGAGCTTCGGGAGCGGGAGCCCTAGCCGACGGGGGCTAAAAGGCGGGACTTCCTGCCTCGCTCACCTTCCTAGTCTTTTGTCTCATAGCAACAGAGTGGTGGCTGCGAGGGTGTTGCTTCTCCGCTCTGGGCGGGGTCCGACGCAGAAATCCATCTCCCTAGGACTGCCAAACTCTTCTACCCAGGACAGCAGCCAAAGAGGTCTAAGACACGGCTTCTTGTTGGCTACCAAAAAAGAGCAACAGCCACCAAGCTTCTGGGATGAAGGGGAAACCTCACATCTAGTAGGCTAAGGGTCACACCTGGCTGCCAAAACTTCCCAAGTTTCTGTTTCTCTTTTACTTATGGTTTTAGAGGGATTGCAGCTCAAACATGAGGCTGACAAACAAGCAAATAGTTGGCAATGTTGACCAAATAGTCTTTGCTAATCATGCCAGGGCAGTGAAAGTACCAGATAATGGGAACTGCTAATGTATGCCTTGCAACTTTTTATTTACCTCAAGTTTCTGCATAAATGACTGAGGAGGAAAAGGCATTTGTATGTTGTCTGAGTCACCTTTACATAGATTACTTAAAAGCAACCTTATTGTATCTGCCATTCTCTCCCAGCATTTTTTTTTATCTCTTTCTGTGCTTGCATTCTTTATGCTTTTCAAAAGGCCTACATCTGGCTAGTCTTAAAAGGAAAAAGCTACTGTGCTGGGACCCTTCTTTCAGCGAGATCATAGATTAAACAAATGCCTTCCATTTCTTTCTGTTTACTTCTGTCCTACCACTCATGCTGCTGACAATTGCTCTGGAGTTTCATGCTTTGAGACTTTCTTTCCACTGCAGTTGATAGTGTTGAATACACTTTACACCTGGGGTTTCTCAGCTGTTGTGATATTTTACACTTTTTAAAATAATTTTTTTCTAATCTTTCTCTGACCAATTAACCTGATATAATGTCTCAATGGTTCTAACCACTTTCTAGCAAATAAAGCACCTAAGTACTGATTATTACTTTGAAGGAGTCTGAGTTGTTATAAACATGCTTTATTCTACAGCCTTAGATGGAGAGTTACAATTTTCATGTGATGAAAACAGACAAAATGTGCTCTTTGCAACCAGTCAGGTGATAAAATATGGTTCAGGAAGTAATTTTATTTCCTTGTCATTATTTTTATGCCAATAATTAAGGAGCAGTTCCTTGTTTTCACATTGTGTTTATCTGCAAATTGGCTTCTGCATATCGCTCCACCCATCCATATAACTTTTACTCATAGTAATAAAATGGCACTGCCTATGAGGTCAAGCATATCATGTTGATAAAAATTTCAAGTCTTATAGTATATGGTTGTACACATATGTGTGTGAGAAAAAGTGATCTTCCCTTATCCATGGTCTCATTTTCCTTGGTTCCAGTTACCATGGTCAACTGCAGTTTGAAAATAGGTGAATATATTACAATAAGATATTTTTGAGAAAGAAAGATCACATTTACATAACTTTTTATTACAGTATATTATAATTGTTTATTTTATTACTAGTTATTATATCTTATTGTGTCCAATTTATAAATTAAACTTATTATTGGTATGTATATATAGAAAAAAACATAGAACGCATAGAGTTCATTAATTTCTGAAGTTTCGGGCATTCACTGGGGATTTGGACTTATCCTACGGTTAAGTGGGGATTATTATGTATATATAGATATGTGTATATAGTATATGTAATCAAGAAATTTTAGCATCATTCTCAACTAGCTATTCTATCACAGTAATCTAGAATCTAAGTTAAGTTCTGATATGGCAAGAGTCCCAGTTGAGCTCAAACTGGGATTCAGGATTTGGTTGCATCTGATAGAATGATGAGGCAGCAAGTCTCTCTGCCAATTATTAGAGTAAGTTAATGTGCATGAGAGAATAAAGACCTGCTGGGATAAAATGTCATACCCTGGGTGCCTCCAATGGAGACAAATGATATAGAGCACAATAAAGACAGTGCATGCTGCAGGGTTATAAATAAGAACACAAAGAAGTGTTTTCATAGGAGACTTTGTGATACTCAGGACATAAGCAGTAGTACTTAAAGCTGACAGAGTTGGCTAGAGAAATAGTCTCATTTCTATACAACAAGTCAGTCTCCTGCATGGTGCAGTCTAAAGTGAATACAACATCATTTGGCAGTGTGGGAGTTTATAACAAAGAGAGCATGCATGGCCTCCTAATGGGAGAGTAGTGTTCTAGAGACTGACATAAGGAAGTCTACCTAAAGGGTCTTGCAAGCAGTAGATGGTCAATAGGTGAGTAATATAAGCAAACTGGCCATAAGCACATGTGAGACCCTTCCCCTAGGTCTCCCAGGAAAGAATGAGAGAGGAGACTTTGTGGAAATTATGTAGAGGCAGCTATGAACCCTTGTAATTTGATCATTAATGTTTGACATAAATAGTTTTACCAACAGGCTGGTGCCATCTGGGAAAATACAGCTAATATTCATTCCTGTCTTTAAACACAGGAAAAAAGTTTTTAAAGACAATTATTTGGAGAAAAATATTTAAACTTTTGTCATTTGGTTCAATTTTTTCTCCTTTTCACTTTCTCTAAATTCTGAAGTGACCCCTTTAATATTGGACATGAGTTGGCTAAATAGCAAAGCTCTCCCATAACTTATTTCATCCATAAAAGCTCAAAAATATTTGTTGAATGAATGCATTGACTGTTAAAGAGTATTACATAGAAAATATAATGTTCTTGTTGCTGCAAAATGGAGAATTTACTTAATTCATAATTCCAAGCAAAGTGTTATTTTTTCTACCGGGTAGATTCACAATGCCAATCCTAACACAAAAACAGAATGTCACAACATAAAATGCTAATCTCCATATGAAATACGAGCACAGATTCACAAGTTAGAGAGAAATAAGAGCAATATGACCTAGCTATAGTTGGCTTAGCAAGTCATTCCTTGTAAAGGGAGTTATATTTCTGTTCATCCTTAACGCATACAAATGGTTGACAGTAAGTGATGTTGATGCACGGGCTCATCATACAACCAGGGTGAGTCCCAGTATTGGTTCAGCTAGAATTCTTGCTTACTACAACAATAATAGCAAAAATAGTAATGACTTAAATAAGATTTAACACCGTTTCCTTCACACATAGGAAAGTCTGAAGGTACAAATAACAGGAAGATACTGTGGCTCCACAGTGTTTTTAAGGACCTAGCTTTCTATTTTTCTTCTGTGTCATCCCAGCCTTACTTCCCACCCTCAAGGTCACTTCATGTTCAAAGATAGCTGTCAGCACTCCAGCCATCACCACTGATTTTCTTAGCTTATAGATAAGAAAAAAGAAGGGCAAATAGAACTTCCACCTGTGTCAGTTTCCTCTAAGCACTCTTCAGAGAACTGCCACCAATTAATATTTCTCTTAAACAACTCAAGACCAGAGCTTAGTCCATGGCCAAATTTAGCTGCAAAATCTGGAAGGCAGTATGCTTTTTATTATGGGTAGCAATATAACCAACTAAAAATTCTGTGGGTTTTTTTTCTAAAGAGAAATGGGTGGGTAGATGTTGCAAGAAATGGCAAATTCTACTACAATGGTTATATTCTAAGAATTAACTTCTCGAAGCAAAAACTTAGATATTCCAATGGAAATATATAAAATAATGAAAATTTGGGATACTCAGTTGAAATCCAGAACATGTATGTGTGCATATGTGTGTGTGTGTGTGTGTGTGTGTGTGTGTGTGTGTGTGTGTGTGTGTGTATGTATATATACATAAGCTTAGCATCATTTCTTAGCCATATTTATTAAAAGTTATCATTGTTTCCTTAGTGGGCAGAAACCAGCACTTGCTATTACTAGACACACATACATTCTTTTTTTTTTTTTGAGTTGGAGTCTCACTCCATTGCCCAGGCTGGAGTGCAGTGGCACACTCACAGTCACCCCAGCATCAACCTGCTGGGCTCTGGCGATCCTTCTGCCTCAGGCTTCCAAGTATCCGGAACTACAAGCGAGCGCTATCACACCTAGCTAATTTTTGGTTTATTGTAGAGATGAGGTCTCGCCAAGTTGCCCAGGATTGGTCTTGGACAGCGGGCTCAGGCAATCCTCTCGTGTTGGCCTCCCAAAGTGCTGGGATTATGGGCTGAGCCACTGAGCCAGGCAATACATACATTCTTTAATGTTTTATTGAATGGTAGTATATATAGTAAATTATATACAATTCTCATTACAGCATGTGTGCTCAGTAATCCTGAACAGTCAATATCGCAGAGTGTAGAAGGGTAAAATTAAGTAACTTCCCTAGTACTTTTCCATCTTAAAATTTATTTCAGATTAAACAGTTACATATCTGAAAAATAAGCAGTGTCTTCAAAATCACTTATTTGTGACTTTCTTTCCCAGACAGTTGATTCCCAGATCAACTCTTTTCCAGACAATGATTTATTTGGCAGTCGTTCTTTGTAACGACAAGGATTTATACAAAGTGTTAAATATAGCTACTTGAAATCTTGGAGTAAACCTGCTACTTTGTCCTAGTTCTATATTCCTTCATACTCCCATCACATTATTCATATTTCATGGTGCATTTTCATGTTTCCCTAAAAAGCCTTGATTCAAAAAAAAATGTGGATAATTTTCTCCCTCAAGATTTTGTGTGAAAAATGTAAAGTTTGGAAGAATTTGTCAC